TGTTTTTCTTATTTTAAGATAAAGCAAAAACATTTTGTTGTGGGCCCCAGGCACACAACTTCCTGGGTCCAGCTACTCAGGAGGCTGAGGTGGAAGGATCACCTGAGCCCGGACAGTTGAGGCTGCAGTAAGCTCTGATCCTGCCACTGCACTCCAGACTGGGCAACAGAGCGACACCCTGTCTCAAATAAATAAAATAAAATAAATAAAAATCAGAATTGCAGCATTTCTCCTAACAAAAGGAGGAGAAACCCTGTGCCCCTGGAGGTTCTAACCAGGGCACACTACCTAATCAGGACACAAAATAGCTCCTCTGTCATTTTTATAGAGGAATTGGCCCATGAAGGCAGAGGTGCCCAGGATCCTCAAAAGTCCTAGCACGGCCCTGCCTCTGCACTATTTTGGCACGTGTGTGTGTGTCTGGGTGTGGGAGGCTGAGGTGGGTGGATCACTTGAGGTCAGGAGTTCAAGACCAGCCTGGCCAACATAGTGAAACCCTGTCTCTACTAAAAACACAAAAAAATCAGCCAGGCATGGTGGCGCATGCCTGCAATCCCAGCTATTCAGGAGGCTGAGGGAGGAGAATCACTTGAACCTGAGAGGCAGAGGTTGCAGTGAGCTGAGATTGCGCCACTGCACTCCAGCCTGGGCGACAAAGTGAAACTCTGTCTCCAAAAAAAAAAAAAAAAAAGTGGTAGTTGTCGTGCATGTTATTGTTGGTTATTGTGATTCCTAGCCACTGTACCCCTCTGTACTCTCAACTGTTGCTGTGCAAGAAAAGTGGAGCTTCCCGCTTTTGGGGACGGCTTGCTCAGACTTCCTGGAGCAGATGCAGCTATTTTAAAGCTGCTTATTAGTATAACTTTATTTTTGTAAAATTCCTTGGCAGGCTTGCCCATGACAAACCCCCGAGGAAACCCAAGAGCTACCAGAAATATGGTGGCCTCTTCTTGACCTTCCGTGGGCGTCAATCAGGTTGCGGTTGGGAGGGAGATGAGTCACAGGCCTGTAATCTGCCACCTGCTTTGCTCCTTCTGCTTAGCAGGTGTCAGAGCTCAGGGAATTTAGTGGGAGGCTTTGAGGCCTTTTAAAATGCACAGGCCTCTGGGATAAATTAATTTCTTAATCCCTTAACAGTCACACAAGAGGAAGATCTGACAGCTGGGTTTTTCAGAGGGGACAGGAACAAATGTCTGTCAGGGGCTTTACATACATTATCATGTTTAATCTGGACAAGAACCCCATACGTGGGGATTACTCTCCCCATTTTATAAACAAACAAATGGAGGCTCAAAGGATTGATGACCTGCTGGGGGTCACCGCCACTCCTTTTTTACTGCCCCAGAACGATGGGACCTACTAGAGGATCAAGGGCAGAGAAAAAGCAGAAAGGAAAGCCAGCCCGCCTGGGTTTGTCTTGGCCAAGGTTCATCAGCTGAAATTCTTGGGGCCTCAGTTTCCCCAAGAGGAGAGAAAAGTTGGCCCAGGGATCTCATACATTCTGCTACTCTTACCCCACTCTCTGCCTAGTCAGAGCAGATGACTAACTCCTTTCCCAGCTGCTACGGCCTGAATGTTTATGTCCCTGCCAAATGCGTATGTTCCTATCCTAACCCGCAATGGGATGGTACTAGGAAGTGGGCCCTTTGGAAGGTGATGAGACCCTAGGGGTGGAGCCCTCACCAGTGGGATTAGTGCTGTTATAAAAAAGGCCCCAGGCTGGGTGCAGTGGCTCATGCCTATAATCCAGCACTTTGGGAGGTCGAGGTGGTTGGATCAGGAGATCAGGAGATTGAGACCATCCTGGCTAACGTGGTGAAACCCGTCTCTAATAAAAATACAAAAAAATTAGCCGGGCGTGGTGGTGGGTGCCTGTAGTCCCAGCTACTCGGGAGGCTGAGGCAGGAGAATGGCGTGAACCCGGGAGGCGGAGCTTGCAGTGAGC